CTAATCATTTTTTTTAAATCTTATGTTACTGGAAAGTCTCTGATTGTGCAGTGTTGTTGAATGTTACTTTGTATTATGGAATGGTGCTGTAGATGTATTGTATTATTGTCACATATGTTATATGTTTTTAAGCTCTTGATGGGAAAGAAATTCCCTTAAGTGCAATAAAGGTTTATTCATTTCAATGGCTGACTAATGAATGATATGTACAAGTCTGTGTCCTTATATAAAAATGTATAATTTTTATAAAAGTATAAAAATGAAATTTAAGGTCACATGATGAATAAAGTTAACCCAGATGTAATATGTGCTAACTATGTAATAATGGGTGCAAAAGTGACGTTTTGGAATAGACTTACCACCATTTCTGGAAACTTGAAAGTTTCACTAGCAAGTAAGTTTAATACTGGTTAACCTCAAAAAGAAAACGTCCGCGTCTGGTAAGGAAAGGACAGGGAATATGTCAGAATGAAGGAAATATCTCAGATAAAATATAGATTTGAGAAGGTATACATTATTTCTGTATACATGAGTTGTAACAGATTCTGACAAAAACATGCCACTTGTACATATAACGACCTCTCCCAAAGTACTCTTCAAAAATGGTTCAAGCTATTCAGCTTACTGTGCAAGGTTGCAAGTTGTTAATTACCAATAGCAAATCAAGTAATCTTTAATCTTGAAGACGGAGTCACTAATGGCATTTATACTGTATGTTTAAATGAAGATGCACAAAAAACATTTATTACACTAATAAGACGGGACATTTTTGGAATTGATTGTGAAGCCCCACGATAGTCCTTGAATAATACATTACATTACAATTTTCATACTGTTTGAAAGGTGTTTTTGCAGTCATCGATTTTTTCTTTTACTGGAGTCGGGCTACTTTTCTGAGTTCTCTATGACTGGACGTGTCATCTCAATTGTGTTAAAGAAAACGCGTGGAAAGCTCACGTCGCACAAGCCTGTCAAGGACAAAACGACTTCCTTCTCTGAAAAACAGATGCAGCCTGTCGCCCACTGATATTGCTCCCCAGCAACCAAGACCAAATAGATATCAGTCATCTGCTGGATAGAAACGGTTCCGTTGTAGGCGAAACTCTGTTGGTTTCAAAATATTATAAACATAATAACTAATAAAGGCTGGGCCACAGATAGAGTATATATTTTCATGCCCCTGCAACTTTGAGCTAGGTTTTGGAAGTCAGTGCTTTTGTGCCAGGACGTTGTAATTTCACTGCTGTCTTCACCTCACTGCAGTATTGTTTTCTGTTTATGGGCAAAACAGGCCTCCCCCCCCCAGCTTGTCTCATACTCCTATCTCACCGAGAACTTGCACTTTGGTACAGAGTGTAATAAAGTGATCTTCCGGCAGTTTTCCCGATGCGTGCGGTTGCTATGTGGCAGGAATTGACAGATATGGTGGAGAAAAGAGACAAAAAAAATCCCCCCAGAAGTAATCCCAGCCTTCTCTGTTTACACAGAGAACACAGAAGTCACTAGCTGCAATGGGTGTGAGCGATGGGCAACAGGTGTAACTCAGAACTTCCCTTACCTTTGAGTCTGTTGGCTAGAATCTTATTAAAATATTCGAGACGTATCACAAACTAATTTAGAATGCTGAAATCAGATGTTCTCTAAATAACTTTAAGAGTTGGTTCTATTCATGACATGTTCTGACCGGCAAGTGCAAACAAAATGCAGCCCATACAGGATTATTCCATACTCATTGTTTTAAGATACAGAGATTCCCCTTTCGCTCTAAAATGGGCCCAGAAGACCATGGTCATGGTCATGATGCAGCTCTTGTGTGCCGTTAGATCCTTAGCTGAAAATGAAGCAAAACATGTAATATTATATACAGAACATTTCTCTTCAACTTCTGATTGATTCATCCATTCATTGCAAGTAAGTTGTTTTTTTCCCAAGTCATGGTCACAGCAAGGATGTCTCTGGGAGAAGAGAGGAAACCAGAGAACCATTTAAAAAAAAAATGTTCTGTATGTGCCCAGAGAGAAGGATCCTTTGGATAATTAGATCTATTTTACTCTTCTATAATTTAAACTTCTGTAACAAAACACCAGGAAAATTACCGTAATTTCAGTAGAAAGTGAAAATATAACAAGTCAGACTACTGAGAGACTAGTTAATTGTTAAATAGAAAGTACCCTGTTGACTTACTACTTTCATTAACCAAAACCCTGTAGGAGGCAGAAGGTTGTGCTGTATTTTAAATAAATATACATGTATGTTAATGTATATAGGTATATAGTAAATAAACAGACTTATGCCTTAAATACCAAGGAATCAATAATAGGGAATTATTTCAAATCTTCATCATAGTAACAGAAACATTTCATTGTTAATATCTAATGGGCCACCAGCAATTACACTGCCATACTTTGACTTTATTGCACTATGGTGTTTTCTGAAACAATTACATTTAAAAGCTCAAAAACGATTCATGCTTATCATTGGAGCCCATACTACAGATGAGATAGTTGTCTGTTTTCAAAGATATTTTTTTACTTAACAGTGACTTTTTAGTTCATATGAGAGGTAGTTGTTTGATGAATGAGTAGCTCAGAAGAAAAATGTTTTTTATGAATGTATTTTTTGTTACTATTGTTATTAAATAGTATGTGTGTGTGTTTATATTGAAAGCTTTGGCAATATTTTCCATTTTAACATACTCCAATAAATTTATAACTTTAGCATAATGTCATATCTAGTTATAAAAAATGACATTTGGTTTTCTTGTTATGTAGAAAAGACTGGAACTAGCACACACACAGCGAATTTGCATAGTTTGTCATCAAGCCAAATAAAAATAAAAAGTATTTAGCTTTACTGCCTCTTCAGGGAGAAGAAACAGTTCTCAAAGCAAATAGACAATTAATTGGAGCAAATAAAAGGAAAACATAATAAACACACAACTTTTCCCAACTTCAATAAAACCAATTACCCACAGCTTTCATTATACTTTAAAGAGCCATGACTTTATGGGGCAGTTTTACCATAAACCTCCACAATTACAGTATACTTACTACTCACTAATAACCTCTATATTGGTGAGATTTATTCTAAAATAAACAGATAAGCTGTAAAGCAATACCAGTCTGAATGGTGTCAATGCTGTAATTGTCTATAAATGTCAGATATGCTTAAGTACCAATATACTGTAAATAGTTAATAGGGACTACTGGTATTCCCTCTGTTTGATAAATTCAAAAAGCTGGAGAATTTGGCATATTTACATAATATACAACATAATAAATAAATATGCAACTTAATAAATTTATATTTAAGAATATTTTATTTGTATGCAAATTTGTTTTATTTTCTAAACCATTCATGATTTGAAAAACAATCAAATCATTATCAAAATGTGCTATCATTATGGTTTATATTGCCATACATTGGCATGGCATGCATAAGTTAATAGACCTCATAACTTTGATGTTTAATATTTTTGGAAAATACACTGGTTGACCAAAGAGGGAGACATGTTTGCTTATGTGCACAAGCACAAAAAGTGCAAAGAGCTTTGAAAATAAAGTAATTAAATATAAAATAATACTATTGGAGATGTGTTGCACATATATACTGTATATATATGGCATATGCATGTACATATTATTAGGTTTTTTGTGACCCTATTTAAATCAGAAGACCTTTTCTAACAGATTTTCAACAGTTTCCAGTCACACTTTCCTTGTTAGTGTGCCAAAGGAATTCTGTTATAAATATATAAAAATAAACATAAAATTAAGTTTTAATGTAGACAAGTGCAAGATGTTACACAAAACAAAGTAAAAGTAAAATAAAAATCTAAGAAGGGAAAAACTGGGCACATAGAGCTACATGTAAATGTGATGTTAGTGCTACTGTATGTTAACAGTTCTTTACCTCCACCAGGCAATGTGGAAAGCAATAAAAAAAGGCAAACAGAACTTCAGGATGTAAAGTTCAGACATTAAACGAAAGGGTGTTATGTTAAAATTGTGGGTCGAATTGGGGCTGCTTTACAGCTTTTGAGTCCTGTGTTCAATTCTGAGATGCATAGCTTTAAATGTGTAATTTGCATGTTCAGTGTTCATGTGGGTTTTCTTCAGGTACTCCTGTCTCCTACCACCTCCAAAAAAATAAACTGTCTACCTTTATTGGTGTCTCTACATTGTCTGTGTGTGGGTGTGTGAGTGTGTGCCCTGCAGTGGACTACAGGCATTCTGGAATATGCTCCAGATTCTATTCTATGCTTCTACCCTTTTCTTGATGTTATTTGTATGGATGTTAAAATTATGCAGTGCACTAATCATACAGTACCCCATTTAGAATAAGATATAAAATTTTAGTCCCATGTTACAAAAAAGCTGCTTTGTCATCAGTCCAAAGCAGAAAGATATTATCGAGCCCAAAGAGATTTACTTTTAAACTTTTCAGACCTTTTCACGACTTCTTGACAATCAAGTGGAACGTGAGTCAGAAGACACGAGTGTGGACTAAAGGGAAGAATGTTTAGAAGTGGTTGGATGAGATTACAGTTAATAGCAATCAAACCACCACACCATGTTTCCAACCTTTCCCATGCTCCTGTGTTGCTAAGGGTCTGAGATTGCTGAGAAAGAAGAAAAAATAATTAAAAAAATAATTCATAGACATTATTAGCAATTCCTTTCTCACATTTTAAAAAATCAGTTTCACCAATAAATGCAAACACTGATTGGAAATTATTGCATGACTATACCTTGTTTGTCTGATAGGGGGTGCTGAAACCATCTTTAATGTTTCAGAAGTTGAATAGTCTATATTAACACATGCTGTCCTTAAATGATACAGTCACGGAAACAACAATATGCTGTTGTGTATTTTTTACCTAGCTTATCTTGTTATATTGAACATGATTAACCTTTGCTTTGTTGATAAATCACTCATTTCAATGATACAACAATATGCAGTCCAGGGCAGGTTTCAGTGTTTTGTAATTTGTAAATATGAGATCATAAAATCTGTGATCAGAATTAAGAACTAAAGGGAATAAACAATGAAATTACAATAAAAATCTAATTCTGAAAGACTTTAAAGATTGATTAAGTGTTTTTTCCAATTGCATGTGAAGCCTTTAATAAACTATCCTCTTGTTATTGTTTTACATAATTTAAATGATCAGAATAATGTTATATTCCTTATCGTCACGTGAAAGCTGTAGTAATGTAGTAATTAACCTAGGATGGTAAAATGCACTTAATAAATGCACTTATTCTATAGAACCTTTACTTAGACACTATCTCTGGATCTGTGGATCTCTGTGTTCGCTTTTTTCTTGTTTGTATAAGAAATATGTAGTTACGTTCTCCAAGTGATTTTACTTTTCCACCTGATCTCTCCTAGGGAAGTGTTTTCTTATTCCTTGTTTGTATAATGCCAAATTAAATTTCATACACATCTGACCCTAGATGCCTAGGTTAAATACTGAGATCTAATTTAATTGCACAGAGTTGGTGGTCAAGTAATTTTTTTAGGTACTTTTCATCTGTCAAGAAAGATTTCAATATATTTAGCAAGCCTGACCTGAATTTTTATTTTAGTATTATGCTATTGCTTGTACAACTTTATTGAAGTTTTATAGATTATTCTCCTCCTCGAGCTCAATATATATACTGCGATACCAAAAATAAAAAAAAATGTATGTTAAGTTCCACTGATTTCATGTCAAAGTATTTTATTGTAATGGAAAATGCCCTTTTCAAATACTTTTATAAACTGCCCTTGCTAACGACAGCTCAACCTGTTGCTGCACTCCCAGGAAATCACTGTCTCAGTTATTAGGCTGTCAAGGCTATTACCTAACAATTACACACCCCATCATTTTTGTATAACCTGCCATCTGATTCCTATTGTTCTTTTCTCATAAGCTTGGTAGACTGCCAAGCATCATTTGAGGCAGCAGTGTGAGCAGGTCCAGAGAGCTAAGGATTGACATATTCAATTGACACCACTGTTTTTCTTTCATTAAATGCCCTTGTTTCTCTCTGCTGAAGTGTAACGTGGATGAGGTGTGAAGATATTTAACGTGCTGGAAGTGTAGCATAGCAACAGGGCAGAGATATGAAGCGTCTGCGAGCAAGTCATCTACAAGAGGTAAGCAGCTGTCTATTAATTCTATTAGCATGTAAAAGGACTAGTTTTCTGAAATAGAAAATTAATCCAATTAATTGCCATTATGAAAAGCAGAAAATGCTTCAGCCTACACAATCGTTTACAACATGGTTATGGTCAAATCACTGATGCCTTGCCTCCACTCATTCTTTCTCATAAGCCTGCCTCTGTTGTCTCTCTTATTTTCAGAAATTCTGACAAGGATATCATTATCATCACACAGAATTCATCTGAATGTGTGAACGGTGAACTGAAACCATTAAACTTAGGCACACAAGATATTCATTTGCCTTTTGAACTAGTCAGTTTGCTCTGAAATAAATTTATATCAATATTTTAAGAAGGATTTGTATTGTTTTTGATAATATTGGTCCTTTGTTTATCTGTACTGTATATGCAGTTTGTGCACTAACACCAAGCATAAGGTGCAGTGCAATATTGTATATTAAAAGTGTTGTCTACATTATTTTAGAATATAAATTGTCATGTAAATTGGGCATGTTGGGCTTTTACACTTTTGCTATAGTTGAAAATTTAAAATAGTAGTAGAAACAGGCTCAATATTTTTCAGTTTATGCATGCAATAATATTGCATTTCCATGAAGACCTAATAGTTGTAGATTATTTCTAAAATAAGCAAATGTTTCAATGGTTTTAGATAATACTGGTAGATTATAGATAGATAATACATAATATATATAGATAATGGATAATAACGTTTTTAAACACATTAAATTATTTACACAAACATAATAATTTGGATCCAAAATGTGTGGACGTATTCATGTGTGAAATATCTTTTTTACAATCTTCAAAGAAACTACATCAACATTGATGTATCATCATGTGGTGTTTTATTAATGTTAAGGTTACAGTAGTAAATACATTTGAAACGGCAATTGACTAATTTGTGTAACGGTCCCATTTGTACAAGAAAAAAAAACATCTGATGAAAAAAATATTTGGTACATTTGACAATCTGTCGGAATGTCTAAAGAGATTTCCTTTAATCTTGGTCAAGTCATAAAAAGGAGTAATTTGTAAAGGTGGCAACACTGTGGTTAACTACATAAAAGCTTAGTAAATCACAAACGTAGCTCCCTTAAATCATTATACCACAGACACTTATTTTAAACCTTTTCTTGCATTTAATGTAAACCAATAGCATACATTCTAAACAGTATTTCACAACAGCTTGGAACATGATCATCCTATGAGTTCCCTGAAAAGACAGAATATCCCTCCAAGTCAAATCAAGAAAAGGCACAACAATAATAATCAGTATAATCAGTTTGGCCTCTTAAAATATGTATATTGGCAGTGTTTATTGAGGATATAGCAGTGCAGTATTTCACTATCTCACAAAATTTCATTACTGATAGCACATCTATAACTGCATAAAAGCATATACATTTTAAACCTGGTGGGTCTTCATACAGTAAATGTTCCCTTGCCAAAATAAATTAGAACCATACAATATTCTTTTTGACTTTTTTCACACACGATTTTAGAGCTACAGTACATGTGCATTACAGATGATTATTTTTCATTGGTGTTGTTATTATTCCATTACAAATTGAAGAGACAGTTTCCTGGTTGCCATGGAGATAATTTGGTGTGGATACTCAGTGCTGTCAGTTTATATTTTTGTATGGAGACTTCTTTTTTTCTCTTTAGTATTGAAAATATCTGGGCTAGTATTATTTTTAAATTTGGGAAAATCTCATTCAATCTACTGTAAGTACACTGATGGGTTAAAGCATCCACCAACCCTTTTTTTAAATAACCAATACAGGGTCACAATGAGAGTTTAGTCAAACATTTATTAAATCAAACATTTTTCTTTCTGGTCAGTAAGCTCTTGGGCATGTTTGTTTGTTTCTTCTATCTGTCATGTGACAGATGGGCACTCCAGGAAGATATGTCAGTGCTGGTCAACAAATATATATTTTTTTCGTCTTTGAATCAGTTGATTGTTATTGAATACATTTGTTTCATATAAAAATAGTTTAAATATTTTACATTTACAGGTAAATGATATATTACACAGTATAATATTTAAAACATATTATACTGCAATGTAAATTTGGAATAGGATGTGTGGTGAATGTTATATTTTAAATTAAAACAAAACAGTCTAAGGGATTTTCCAGTCTTGACATCCCTAAAACATGGAATTTGTCATCTTTTTAAAGACATGATTTAGGTACACTAGTATGAGCATAAACTCCTTATTACTCATGCCTGTTGTTGCAATGTTGTTTTGAAACTCCTGTTTGTGTATTGTCATTGCCATTGTTTGTGTGTTTGTCTTTTAAGCACAGTCATTTGATGTCGTAGGTGCTACAGCTGTCAACAGTTAAAATTAATTGGAAAGAGCTGATTTGATAGTCTGTTTGTTATATGCAACAAATTTAGATTTTTTTTTTTACTTTTCAAATTTGGTATCCAACAGTCCAGTACTCCAGATCTAATGAGCCCCAGCGAGGGAGAGGATGGGGTGGTCTCAGAACTGGAGTACACTGCAGACCGGGGGAACTGGACTGGGAAACTGGATTTCCTTCTGTCTTGTATTGGATACTGTGTGGGGCTGGGCAATGTGTGGAGATTCCCATACCGCACTTACAGCAATGGAGGAGGTGAGAGAGTAAATTTAAAGGTATGGAGACTGAGGTTATAAAACAGGAGACAATAAACACTACAACTAGTAAATTAAACAAAATTAATAGGATGTTTATCCACCCCTTACTATGGGTTTGATATATTGGAACCTATGCAACCTAATCTATCTGATTAACTTTTGATTTCTTTAAAACATTATCAAAGTTTTAAAAAATCCACACAAAAAATGTATTCATACTTTAACAGTAAATAGACATTTTTCCACTTTATGGTTCTAAGGAGAGCAATATTTTACTCCGCAGCGCTTCAATTTGAATGCAATGATTCAGAACAGTATCCAGCAGCTTCCCTTCACATCAGAAATCACAAAGAATTAAAGCAAAGAATTAAACCACTGCTGGGTGTAAAAAGAAGACCCTGTTTTCTGTTTTTTTTCCTGCTTTCCAGGTGCGTTTCTGATCCCGTATTTCATCATGCTAGGGATCTGTGGAATCCCAATATTTTTCATGGAGCTCTCTTTGGGACAGTTCTCCAGCCTGGGACCCCTGGCAGTATGGAAAATCAGTCCATTCTTTAAAGGTGATCTAAGAGCAGAGAGCATTTTCAGAATTAGACTTACTACTGTATACAGTATGTGATGTTCTTACTATTGTTCTGTTCTTCCAAATCACAGTATGTATGACTAGAAAAGTATGCAGGATGTTTATGTGTAGCCTATATTACAAAGGAGACAAAAAGTAATGTAGAGTACAATTACATGATGTATTCTGAAATGCAAAACTAATATTTAAAAACAATATTAACATTCAAAATATATTTTGACCTATAGAATCTTACTGAGTCTTTGACTTTGTCATTCTCCATTAATTCCTTGTTGTTCATTTATCTTTATCTCTCTGTGATACTGTAGGTGCTGGTGTGGGGATGATAGTCATTGTTTCATTAGTAGCCATCTACTACAACATGATCATTGCCTACGTACTCTTTTACCTCTTTGCCTCCCTGACCAGTGACCTACCCTGGCAGCACTGTGGGAACTGGTGGAATACAGATCGTTGTCTGGATCACAGAGTCGTTCAGGGAAACAACAGCTCAGTGAAGCTCCCTGGGTCTTCTCTGAATATTACAGGCACTGTCAGTCCTAGTGAAGAGTACTGGAGGTAGGGTCAAGGAAAATGATCCTTCTTTTCATTAAACACCTCAATGCTCCCAAATCTTACTTTTGCATAGTGTGAAAAAACTATTTCCCTTGCTCTGCAGAGATGCATCTTTGCATAATAATCAGAGAAGTCCATGTCTTACATCAGCACTCCTGATGAACCTCAGCACCAGATTATTAATGTTGTGCAATATATTACTTATACCTGATTATTTCCTCAGTTTCTGCATTGGATAACTTTTTTTCAGCCGTTATGTCCTACACATCCAAGGAAGCTCAGGGATTGGGAGTCCAGGGGGAATTAGGTGGAATCTCTGTCTTTGCCTCCTTTTGGCTTGGATTATTGTCTATCTCTGCATCCTGAAAGGAGTCAAGTCCTCAGGAAAGGTAAGGAAGCATTCTGTGTCAAAGATGTAAAAAACACTAAGTTCGTAGTTCGTAGTAGTAGTTAATAGTAATAGTTAATAGTAGTAACTCTTCAGTTCAGGAGGTACTGAAAAGCCACATAAGAATAGTACTAGATGCTTATGAATGATACATTAGAACTTACATGATGGACAATCTCTGTATAAAGGCTAGCTAGCTAGGTACATATTACCTTTAGCCACTAATACATAATAAATGTACACATGGCATGTTGCACTGATGTGTCATACAGTACATGAGTCACTTTTAATTTGTTTTTCAAATTATCATTTAAAATTTATTAGCACACCAGTGCTTTATTTTTGTGTTGTAGTACTAAAGTAGTAATAAAAACAAAGAACACTAAAAACTAGTTTACAAACAAATCCTAAAAAAGAAAGTGTTACTGCAATAGCACCACATGTGCTATTACAACACTGTATCACCCTGGGGTCATACTGAGGTCATGATGTAGATTTCACTTGACTACAAGCTAATTACCCATTGTTTTTAACCCTACACAATGGGAACTGGTATCTCAGCAATCATGAAAATTGTTCTGAAAATACTTTTACAATATAACAAAGCTTAAAATAAACATTAAAACCCCTTCTGTAAGACATGATTTCTGCATACTGGATAAAAAATGTTTTTAAGAAAAATAATCTGTAAAAAACATTAATAGTTAATGATTAATCAATCTTAATATCCTCCATATGGTGCTTTTAATTTTTTATGTTTCAATCATACTGTGCTCTCCAGCAACCAGCTACAGAGCAGATCTTACTGAAGTGCCTATGAGCAAAACTCTATTTAAATTTGTGGAAGTATAGAATTAGCTTTTCAGCAATGTTTGTGAAGCTGATACTCTGGCTTCTATCAGAAATGGTTGAATCAGATAGCCAGACCAGCTAGGTACTAAACACTAAACTGCTAGATAAGACAAGTGGGCCATTCTCATTTGTAATCATTCTTATATACTTATATGTCCTGAAAAAAAACAGGTTTATCAGCTTTGACAACATGGCTGAGTATTTTGTTCCACTACAACCCTTGTGGAAGAAACCTCCAATCTCAGTGTTAAATGAACTTCCTTAGTTTTATCTTGTGTCCTCTGGTTTGGTTTCACTGTTCTTGAAGAAGTCTGCTGGATTGACTTTGTCAATGTCTTCAAGGATTGTGAATTCTTGCTTCTGGTCACCTCATTGTCTTATCAGTTGAAAATGAAAAAAAGATTTGATTCTTTTAGCCTGTAAGCGTAGAACATTCCTTTGAGCTCAGGAATATATTTGGCCGATGTTCTCTCAGCGAATTCCAGAGCAGCAACATTTGTTTTGAAACACAAAGACCACATAACACAATATTTTAAAGGGAGTCTTACTAATAGCACAATTTTTACATACACTAACATTCCCTATTTTACCCTTTTTACTATATTTCCTAATATAATGTTTTGTCTAGAAAATGTAAGTAATTTTCTAAAATAGACAACCAAATCATTTTGAGGATGGCTACATGCAATAGATCACTTCATCAAGTTCCACTAAATAAAAACTTCTCAATGGTCTTAAATATCAAGGCTTTATCCAGACCTATCGACAAGTATTTTGCCATTTAGCTTATAAAAGCTTGAACAAATGAGATATATCATAAAACATGTAGAACATGGTGCAAAACAAGGACTTAGTTTTGGTGCTTTTATATAAATGTACAATCCTGGAGCTCAAGATGTACATTCAATAGCAATAATAAGGTTTAACTTAATATTTATGTAGCTATGCAAGAAGATTTATCCTGAGAATAGTAAGCCATAAAACTTGAAGACAGACAAACTACATCTCATTTAAAGATTGCCACAGAGTAAACAGACACTTCTGATTGTACTTAATTTGTGTCTAGGTTGTCTACTTTACAGCCACTTTCCCTTATGTCATCCTTGTCATGCTTCTTATCCGAGGGGTGACTTTGGATGGAGCTTGGAAAGGGATCAAGTTTTACCTCACCCCTCAGTTTGACCACCTCCTCACTTCAAAGGTGATAAAAGCTTCTATTACTTAAATTGTGGTTCAAATTCCCGATGAATTTGGTCGAAGATGATATTCCAGGGGAAGCTCACATTTAAAAAAAAAAAATTGTTAAGGAGTCAGCCTTCAGTTTACTTTATTTTTCAGGTTTTGCCACAAAAGCGACAGTAGTGCATTTTTAATGGAAAATGACTAATTCCATTTGCCAGTGGTGAGGAGTGAAAGTTACATAGAGATTTATAGACAGTGAAAGTTCTATACCTGACCCACCATCTTCCATAACGACCTTACTTTTATATATCCTAATTTGGATTCTGCTCTTGAAAGCTTTGCCTGGAGGGAAAAGGTGCTGTACAGACTGATAAGTGTGCCAATGTGTGTAATTGCTATGATTCTCTCCAGGTATGGATTGAGGCAGCTCTTCAGATTTTCTACTCCCTTGGGGTAGGTTTCGGTGGTTTGTTGACCTTTGCTTCCTACAACACCTTCAACCAAAACATTTACAGGTTAGTGTGACTCTACTCTAAAGCCCTGCAGGTAGGGGAGGAGTTTTCCAGTATCAGCTTGCCAATAAATAAGAAGTCAAAAGGTCTCTAATTTGAACTTCTATCCAGTTGAAGGACTAAAGCTTTCATTTTATAGTCCTCACACGGATGTGGCACAGGTGCCCAGCTTCAATTTACTCACTTACGCAAACAGTCTTTCACTGCCTCAGCAAAGAGAGCCACACAGATTCCAGAGAAGAAAACGAATCCAAAAGCTCAAGAATGGATTATTTTATTGCAGGGTTTAGTGTAACATACCGTATTGGACTAAGATGCTGTAAAATTAGTTAATTATTTTTCAGACAATGACAACAGTGAAAGAAACAGTAAACCAAGCCAACAGTTTCTCCTGTAACAATGAGAAGAATTTGACATGCACTGAGATGTAGGAACCCTGTAGCTGTAATGCAAAGAAATTTACCAGAATACCATAACAGTTCATTTACTAAAGTGAGTAAAATGTTCAATAAGATGAGCATTACAGGTATAACTGATTAGAATACAGTAATAACTTATTTTAAGATGTACACCTCAGTAGAAAACCTACTGTTGTTTACAATGCATAGCATCAATATTTCTGTCACTTTACTATAGTGCTATTAGAAATCCTTTCTTAGAAGCAGATATACTGTATGTCAAACATGTCTTCCAAGCTGTAATGAAGTTTGTGTATCCTGAAGCGTGGAAGACTAATTTGTCTCAGATATGCCCTTCACACAAAAAGCAAAATGATTGTGGAGCAACAGACTTTGGATTTGAAGGTTTATTCTTTTTTCAAAGACTTAAATAATCGCTTCATCTTATTTCTTCCTTTCTACCCTTTTAGGGATACATTTATAGTAACTTTGGGAAATGCCTTCACCAGTATTCTGGCAGGTTTTGCCATCTTCTCAGTACTGGGGTACATGTCTCAGGAGTTAGGTGTTCCTGTGGACCAAGTAGCTCAAGCAGGTAACACTTGTCCATAAATATCTTATGTCAGTAAGAGCAAGTGCTTGTCTTAAGATGTGTCTGTATGATATTGTAAATATCTGTAGATACTGTGTAAATTGTATATGCTTTGGCAACACTAAAATTCATTGGTCATGCCAATAAAGCTTCTTGAATTGAATTGAAAATAGTGCCAGATATGTACTGTAGATATCAGACAGTTCAACAACTACACAGAAATGTATTTTGATGACTAGGTTGATGAGTAGTGAAATGTTGTTTCTTTCTTGTCATGGGTAAGAAATATACTACACAGCCTGATTTTAAACTCGTTTCAGTTTAAAACACAGATTTTAGGAGTCGGAAAGAGATCTTAGTAATGCTATCTGTTGCTTGGTAAATTTAATTTCAAACTTTACACTGCTGTTTGTCTTCCACTCTGGGACTGTTAAGGAATATACTAGATCTGAATTTGGAAACTCAAGGGATCAAGCCTCTAGTCTGATTGTCATGCCTATGGCATCTTCCATTTACTATGTATCATATTGTTATTCCTGTGTCGCCTTTTCAACTGGTCCTGGTGCAGCCGGCAGCTCTAAATTGAGGAGATCAAAGGCTTTCTTTTCTTAATGGGAAGACGGCCTAATCTGGCATTGTTTCTGTGGAGCAGTGTGCTCAGCCCTCATGCCTGAGGACTTGTAGCCCCTTAAGATCAAACAGGAAGTGGTGTTGGAAAGCCATAAATTCTCAGACCTTTGAACTGGAGACCATTTCTTCCAAAAAAAGGATGATGGTTGTGGTGAGGATGTTGAGGAAGGTGGGGGAGTTGGCAGGGACTGACTTTTTTTTTCTCTCTTAAAAAGTCTGTTGTATTTCAATGTGGATAATGTCCTGAAGGTCATTCACTGTTAGACAGTAAAATAACACAGCAAGATACTGTATATCCCTTTATGGGACAAATATGCTAGCTTTTTCAACTCATCATTAAACTGAGATGTCTGCCTTTTCTCCCAAACTACAATGTAAAACTGACATCTTGGATGAAAATGACAAGAATTCTGAATTCTCTGGAACAAGAGCGTTATCTTGTTGATCTGGAGGGAGAAAGAAATGAGTCAGAGTGTATACTTAAGACCTGCTTATGGGTTGCAACCTGGCTCAACATTTACAGAAAGCTTAGAAAGAGATTATTAGTGGTTTTTTACTTTGTTTCTAAACCATAAAATAATAATTTACTTAAATGAACCAAAGATCAACATTGTAAATCAAATAAAGTGCCACAGCAGAAAAAAAAGATTAGACTCAAAGCATTTGTTCTTAATCAGAGTATTTGTACAGTGTGTCCAGTTGGGTTAATCCAGATGGAATCTCAGCACTAGTGTGTGATGTGCTCATGCAGACGCTAATTTCTATTAATTGATTTTGAGGGGTTAGCTGGAAACCTGCTCTCTGTCACAGTAATGAAGCCAGGTGGAAAATGTGGGGACAAGTGCCATCTGATAAATATGTCAAGAAACTCAGAATTCAAAAGGAAATATACTGTATGTGCCCCAAACAAAGAGTTTTATTAGGGAAAAGTGAACCCTTTTCAAACATTGCTTTAGTCATTAATGGATTGTGTGTCTCACAGCCTATCAACTGACTGTATATTGTCATCAACCTATCCCATGTGCCTGATGTTAACAGAAAATAATCTCCCTCTCTATATATTTATGCTTGCAGAGATAAAGAATGCCATGTTTTGTTCCTATACTGAATTGGTCATATATATTTTACTCAAAAATCATTATGCTTTGTTACTGAGTTAAGTTAACCCAGAGTTTTGGTAGACTATTGAAAGTGTCATGCAAAGTAAATCAATAAAGCAGTGTCTAAATGTGCAAAATATAGTCTATTTATAGAATATAAGATTACGCAAAGAAGGATTTCCATAAATAAAGTAACAATCTCTCATAAAAAAATACATATTGGATGTTTTTGGTAATGGCATGTATCAGCTCAAAGATTGCTGACCAGGTGCAAACCTGGTCAAACATGGAGAGTTACAGCTGAAGTAGTTTACTATAATGTATCCTGAAGAATACTAGCAATCTTTATTGGTGCCAACTGCACCAATAAAGTCTTCAGCAGTACTGACGGGAAGTGCTGGACTCGTCACATGTCTGATTAAGTGCCTTGTGATTTCCATCTCTTTGGCTTCTTAAGAACAAAATCTTATTTTGCAGAATATTGTAATTGACAGTGAACTGTATCAACCAGTTAAGCCTTAGTTCCAATAGATTGACACAAATTTCTACTATTCCAGAGCCAAACAGATATCATGATATCATGATGGAGCACATAATGTGAAACCAAATTTAGCAACTACTGTATATAGAAAAATGATATTCGCTATGGCCTTCCTATTATTTCCACCACATGCACGAACAGATGCATTACAATGGGAACTGTTCTCACTTTATTTATTGGCCTGCTTTTGTAAAGCATTAGGAAAACTGTTGTACAATTACAGTAACTTGGGATGTTAATTAAAAAGAGCCCCTTATTTCTTTTAGAAAGGCTTTTTTTTTCACACTGTAGGACATCTGCCAGCACCGTTTATAGTTTGACGCACTCAAGATCACTAGAAAGACACATACATGCAAAATCTTCCCACAGTTAACTTTAATTTTAACTATATTTGAGAACATTTCTTGAAAAGAGACAAGTTGTAGGTGATTCAGGCCTTTAAACAGAGTTATGATGTCTTTGTTTTGTGCAGGTCCAGGCCTAGCATTTGTTGTGTATCCACAGGCCATGACAATGCTCCCACTTTCTCCCTTCTGGTCCTTCCTGTTCTTCTTCATGCTGCTTACGCTGGGGCTGGACAGCCAGGTGAGCATCGTCCAGATCTTTCCACTGCTGTATTTAGGTTCTTGATAGGTTTTTTGCAAAGCACAATGCCACACAATTCATATACATGAAGCTTTCAAACAAGGAGGAATGACAGGAAACAAGCTCTCTTTCATCTCAGCTGTAATCATCCGTGACATCATTTCCTAAATCGTCTGCTGCATCCCTCCTCCACCCCATCTCCACCTTTGCTGTTACCCCTAGGGTAACTCTTCAATCTGCATGGAGATCCTAGTCTTCTCATCCTACAGTTTGGAGACTAAGCCAAATCAAACCCTTTTTCAAATGCATTCAGTTCTGGAGTGTTGTTACTCCTAGTCAATTCGCTTTTCTATAGGAGACTACATTGTTATTTTTAGTTATATTCAATGAAGAAGCACTAATTCATTTGAAAACATTTAGATAGCTAATTGGTCAGGATATAAACAATGACATCAGCAGTTTAACACTGTCATCTGCCAGCTATATGGGGAATCTTAAGGAAGAGTACAGCCTGAAAGGTGCAGGGCTTTAGTACGTATAAGTAGATCAGGAGACACACCTACAGCTACATAATGTTGATGCAGAACATCAAGTGTAAATACATTATATGAAAGTCTGATCCACATTAGCGAGACACTTTTTAAACAATGTGACTTGGGAACTTAAGAGAATACCTAACTTGAAACATGAATTCTTGCAGGTTTTCAGCTATAATAAAGCAGTTGTAACACAGACATTTATGCATAGCTCCTTCATCTGATTTTTTCCCCAAAGTTTGCATTTATGGAAACAATTGTCACTGCCATCACAGATGAATTTCCATTCTACTTAAGACCAAAGAAGGCCTTCTTCTCAGCCTGTATTTCTATCAGCATGTTCCTAATGGGATTGATTCTCACCACAGAAGTAAGTTAATTAAATTAACAAAAATTGTCTTGCTCCTGGTTTAAAATGATTATTTTTTATATATCATATATAACCCACTTGATTTATAGAAATGATTAAACATTTAAACAAATACCTTTCAATTATGAAGGTGCTGAAGAGAGAGAGTTTCTTATTATAACTATAATGATTGTTTTGAAAGCTTTTTTTTATAACAGACCAGAAGCACTTGAAGTCGACTACTTTAAATATGATAACCCTCAAGGGACTATGAAGGCACACTTATTTCGGATTTTCAGAAAGATTCACAGATGTTCCTGATTACTTATAAGTCTCACCTTTGAAGTCTATAAGAAATTTGACAAGCCCTTGTGTTAGACAGGAAATTGTTAACATCTCAGTCACTTGTTCAAAATGAATGTCACAAGGACCAAACTGATGTACTGAGCAGACTCCAGAATTTCTAAAGCTTCTGTTCAACTCTTGATAAAAACAATGAGGATATTAGATGTTTTTAAACAAAATTGTCATTGCAGTTTTCGATAAAAAAGTTGATGTCCTTTGAAATAGACCTTTAATTTTTATTTATATTTCTTCTACATTTTCATGATTAGATATCAAAGGAAAATGTAAATTTTCTTATTTTCTTTTGCCTTTTATGTGGACCATTTTTAAATTACCAGCTATCTTTTGTAGTGATTCTCCTTGCTTTGTTTAGAATTCTCACTGAAAATAACTTTTCATTTTGATTTTTTGAATTAACATTTGCATACTTAGTCTTTCTAATTTTTTAAAATATTTTTAACCAGTTTCAGTGGCTAGAGGTTGATTATTCTAGCAAAGAAAGAAAAATGCTACCTTTAATAAAATTAAGAAACAGTTTCTTATTTCTTAGTGCAGTCTTGATAATTCTGGTAAACTACCTTTACAGTATCTTTTTAAAAACCAACACTATACATTTGTTTTAAAATGATCTTTTTTTTTCACTGTCCGCTTAAGGGTGGAATGTACTGGCTGGTTCTGTTGGATGACTACAGTGCTGGGTTTGGGTTAATGGTTGTGGTGATAACATCATGTTTTGTAATTTCACGCATATATAGTAAGTATACATTTGACAGTCCTTTGGTGAAGCTTCTCTATGCCTATTTTATGTGTTAGAAGATTTATTTTGGACATTTATAGATGGGAAACAGTGCAAAATCAAAATCGTAGCCTTGGGAATTCTCCTTGGGATCTTCGAATATCTATAGTTCATATCTTTCCTTTGAGGCTGAACATTTTATTGATCTAATGATAGCAGAGATTTTCATAGCTCAGGTCCTTTAAAATTGCCTTGGCTGTTTGTGATCTCAGTGCTATTTACTTCGAGCTTTTGTATAGTCAGTTCACTATGGTCTTTCAGGTCAATAGCAACATCAGATAAGGTAAAACTGGAAGGATGAATTTCTACTATATTGCTCATTAAGCTCAGTATAACCTCATATTTAGATTATTACCAAACCTTTTAACTCTCAGTAATGGTTTATTTTCATTACTACATTAACCATTAACTCAAAAATTGATATGTCAGAACATTAAAAAAATCAATAGATCAGCAGTTCAGGTACTTATTTTATAATAAACAGTATGCCACCAGACTCCCTTTACAATCAAGTAGCTGTAAGTGTCTATCTCAGTGAGTCTGTCTATGACTTAGATATTGTCTTGTCTATTGTATATGACTAAATTGTTCACTAAGTCTTAGATGTATTGGATTTTTATCAGAATATTCTTATATATCACATAATTTTTCAACTGAATACTTGTAGATTTTCTTTATGATACAAAATTTCCACATTTTCTTTGCCAGTAAAATATACATTATGAAATGTATGAATATTTTAAAATTATTTTATGAATAAAAGATCACAAGCTGTAAACTTACAGCATGCATAGAAAGAATTCCAAAAGCTAGTTAATATAAACCAAATACATTATATACTGGATCCCTTGTGTTTTTAGACTTACACAATAAAAGCACAAAGGTTAAAGAAAAATACATCGAACACAAATGATTAATGCGTCCTGATGCACCATTCAGTTTAGAATAGTTTCCTATTGCCCCTCAGATGGAGACCATCTAAATTGACATGAACCTGCAGATTCAGCCTGAAGCACTGCTGCTTGTCAGACGGTTTGCTGGTGAATCTGTCAATTAGCCATTCTTTGGAGATACATCACTAAAACCTATTAACTTGCTGTGACAGGGATTCAAAACAAAATATTAAATATTCAACAGATAATCTCTTCATTTCACCTCTTCACCATGTTCATACAGTATTTAACACTTTAAGAGCAGTTACAATCTGTACCAGTTTTATTACCACTGTCACATGTTCAAAATCTTGTGTTCTGAGGGAAGATAGCCAGTTGCTTTATTATTAGAAATGAGAAAACCACTTACACATCACTTTCAGCTCTGATCTTCATTATCATTTCCCATGTAATTGTATGAGAATTTATAGTGTTTAAAAGTGTTTACTGTAACCTCATGTGAGCCTGGTACAGTATGTGAACTATCACATTGGATAGTACATTAAGAAGAGTTAATTAAACATTTGAAAACCATGGGCTCATTGGTATTTTCTTAGTTTTAAAAATGGTCTTTTATTAATAGTATTACAACTGTTCCTACTTCCCCTACAGGTGTACAGAGATTTTCTCGAGACATTAAGATGATGCTAGGATTTGAACCAGGGATTTATTTTAAGATGTGCTGGAACTACCTTTCACCACTCTCCATGTTGGTAAGACTATTTATACCTGCTTCACAAAAGATATGATTACGATCTGGAAGGTGCAAGGTAGTAAAAACTATAGGCCAGGAAATGAAACATCATCATCGTCCGTCTCTGTGAGTATGCTGCCCGTTGGTGTAAAAAAATGCTTGCTTGACCACATTTTTCATGTTCCAAGAAAAAAAACAGGGGGGTCTGAAAATCTGTCTGGGCAAGAACTCCCACTGTTTAAAGAATATTGTGAATAATTATTTTAATCAATATTATATGATACAATATTTTACATACTTTGTTAAAACAGCACGATTATGCATGGGCATGGAAAAGGTGAAATGTGTGAATGAGGCTTGAACGAAAAAAAGTACTTTTGAGTTTTGTCAATGTTCTGAAACTTATTGCCATTTTTAGTCTTTTCATTTTACTTAACAGCTCATGCACTTTTCATTCTTGTTTACTTATGCTACAATAGTATACCAATTTATTTGCTTCTTGGTTTTCAGGCTTTGCTTGTATACAGCATTGTGAAATATGAGCCGTCTGAATATGGGACTTACAAGCTCCCTAAGTGGGCAGAGATATTGGGTATTCTCATGGGCCTGTTACCATGTTCAATGGTGCCAACTGGGATGGTGGTTTCTGTTCTCCGTGAAGAAGGAACTTTGAAAGAGGTAATTATGATTGACTTTCAATATTAAATGTGACAGCAATGACAATTATTCTTATACGTATTATTAGCAATATCTGTTCTGGACAGAAAATAAAATACAGAATGAGTTACTAACTATATGAGCCTAAAATAAGAATAGAAAGCAAAAATGTAAGGGATAGCATTTGAACAGTTTTGGATACATACTGTATTTTCACCAGTTGCTTGAGTATTTCCCTGAATCTCATTTGAAAATACATATTACCTGTCACAATGCTGAGACCAGCTTTGGATCATTTTAGAGAGTGCATCACATGCAGTCACATTCCAGATTCACATGAAAAAAAAATGTAATGTATTTGGCCCAGTGATGGATTTTTCAGGTCCTGGAGAACAATTATTTAATGTCACGTTCTACTGTATGATTTGTGTGTTTACCACTTTAAAGATTATCATCTTCTATTCTGTTACATACAGTAGAAAACCTCTACATCTGTATACATCTAAAATGTAGGTATTTCTATCACTCTGCTTTAATGTTCCATATAACTTTAAAACATTCTGTGCTTTTGTTGTTTACAAGGTGAGTTGACATGCAACATATCTGTGGCTTACCCTTTATAGCAGAATAACACATTCTTGACTGGTTTATGACAGATTTACTCTTAAAGATTACAAGAAAGCAATTACTATAGACACGACAATGCTCTGTTAAAGAGGTACCAGTTGAAAATAGGTTTTCTAATTTCTAAATGAACCTCTGCTCACTGGAAGGTGTCCTAAATAAGGACATATAATGGTTTTATTCAATTTATATTTTTGGTTAATTTACAATAGTGAAGATACTGCAATACAAGTAAATCCTAAGATTTATTTCTTAAATAAACACTGCACTCTGTGTTTGGAAAGGAAAATCCTTGTTATTTTTTACCATGTTAAGGTGCTTGTTTGCATGAATTATGAATGAACAGGCAATATGCATTAACTTGTTTTTCAATAGCCTGTGAAGAAAAGTAAATCTGATGCACACAACCTGAGAGCTTCATACAGTAAATACAAAACAAAATAATCAGTTCAGAAAGCCATAAAATAAATATTTAATGATTAGCATGCCACTGTAGAATCCTGGCAGGGTAAGGAGCAATTAACATTGCATATTCTGATGTGTATGTGGCACTGTTCAACAGTTGCCACTAATAAGGTCTTGTAAATAATTTATAATTCATACCTGCTGTTTCTGTGCGTAGAAATCTCAGAATAAAAGCTTTTACAGGGCATATAATCAGTTGCTCCATTAGAAAATTTAAAGGTACCACAAAACTAATTACCTTTATCAGACAGTAATAGGTCAACAAAAATAAATAATTATGAAATGACTGAATTCAATTTCTGAAGATGAAAGTGAACCTTTCAAAGGGTTGGAGATTGTCTTTCAGGCAATATTTGAAATTTGTCAGATGTATTCAGGTACTCTTTCTACATGGTAAGAAGTTAAATATTGATAGGCATTTAGGCTACAGTCAGATTCACTCTTTTCTAGAACCTTTAGGGATTCAATATCAGTCAATTCTTTTGTTATGAATTGATTGTGCTATGGTCCACTTTTTATTTTAAAGAATAAATCCCACAGAGAATAACATGCCATGTCAAAGTATGTCATTAATTTTAAACCCATTTCTTTCTGATCTTTGAAATATGCATCAGTATTTGCCAAACTGGCATTAAGTCTTTTCAAACATCTGATTCACAAGCACACAAACTGTAGATCAACAACATTAACAATTGTTCTTAAGTTTATATTCTGAAATATATTTTAATGCTAACAAGAGCATGCATTTTTAATATTTTTTCAAAATAATGCCCTTTATTATATGAAGAATTATATTTATTCAATGTGAACAGATAGAGCAGAATTCCTTGCAATTGTCTTTTTGATGTGATTTGGCAAACTGACACAGACACTGACACAGTTAGATACTAGATTGATTTATTAGCGATGATGTACATTAATTAGGGATACCTTTTACAGCAGCAAAGGATTCCCTGTGCATAAACTCAAACCAATCATTGAACTGATTGTACAATCATACACTTAAAATGTTTTAATATGACCAAGGGTGATTCCGCAGGGTTGTAAAACACAATAATAAAACCCAGCAGTGAGGTTAAGCTTTATCAAATACAACCTTAATACCCTGTGTCAGTTTATAAAACGGTTCCATACAGCATGACTAAATGTTATCTGTTCTTTTCAAATGTGATTTCAAATTTTGGTAATAAAAAGATTTCTTGCTTTACTGCAATAGTGCCTTTAGGGCAGTACTTATATTTTTCAATCAACTGAATTGTGAAGGATGTACAAAGCCTATACCAAACTTATATTTATATCTTGGACACCTAAGTATAAGAGCTCAAGGCATGTACAGAATAATCTTACATCAGGAGAAGTGAGTACTGTACGTTAGAGGCAACAGACATACAGTAACAGAACCATTTCTCTCATGGTTCAGTTATGGTTTAAAGATTTGAAAACGAAAACAAGTTTTAATAGTTTTAGAGTTTAACAATACCATTCCATGTGATTTTAAATTAAACAGCCATCACATCGTTTAATACACGTTTTTAGGTCTACAACTTAAATTTAAATAGTGGTTGCTGAATGACATATCTGATTAAATTTATACTGTTCAGTTTGACCCCACAGAAGAATCTATTGTATATTTGAACGTCTTACAAATTAATGTATTAACAGAGAATTAAACAAGCCATTAGACCATCCTTAGACTGGGGACCTGCTCTAGAGGAAAATCGAACAGGCATCTATGTGAACACTCTGCCAGGAAGTCAGTCTCCAAGACCCCTGATGGTCCACATGAGAAAGTATGGTGGAATCACATGCTACGAAAATACAGCAATAGAGCTGGACAAAGAAATTGAGATGGAGGAGGAATCCATGATGTAAATGTTTACTTGTTCTCTTTATTTCAACTCAAAGAGGTAATTCATGTTCTGACTACAATTGTTAATGAATTTTCTATGTTTTAAGAAAGATAATGTGGTTGTTAATGAACATGTATTAATTAATAATCAACCTTATTAGTAATGAATGGTATGTTGACAACACAGATACGAATATATAATTATTATAACTGCACAGTAGCACTGCTATAGTTAGAGACAGCTGTTAGACTCTTGTACACATGTACTGTATGTCTATGTATGTTTGCACAATTTATAATTTATGGTTTCTAAGTCCTTATGACTTCTGTTGAAAGTCTGTTGAAAGCAGCAATTGTTCTGTTTACACTGTTGGTACGACAAAACACATTATTCATTGTAATGGTCATTTACAACCCTCAAAATAGTTTAACATCCTGAAAGAATATTAATTGCTTAATGTATGTTAAGTGTCAGTTACAGTAGTGGTTGTTCTTGTTATTTTTATGAAGTCATGGATTGATAACTAAAATTGTCAGGGTGAAATAGTTACTGTAATTCATTTCATTACTTATTTTGTTCACTCAAATACATTATACATTTTGTCAGGGTGATTTATAGCTGAGTTTAAGGGGAAAAAATAAAAATATCAACTTGAACAGATCCTTGTTTCTTTTACACTATTCTTCACACTTATATAGTTCACATCTACCCCGTAAATATTATGGTTTAGGACTTAGAAGCGCAAAAGCCAACCATCTGTATTTAAACAATAAATGGATCAGGTAAACAAGTTGGGGAGCCAAATAAATGATGTACATGTACATTATTCCCTTGTAAATTGCAGTAAGCTCTATTTTAAATTACATTTTGTTTCTTCATTTCTTAAGACAAAAAAACTTAAATTAGTAATCCAGATAGTATAAAATCATTGTATCTCAGTGGGTATGAATGCCTACTTAATTTACAGGTAACAAGTTCTAAAACAATATTTGAGTTTTATTAAGCTCAGCAAAAATACAGTGTTAAAAAAATTATTGTGCTTAAGTTTTCTTCAGTGGGTGTCATAAAGATTCATAAGGTAGCTTCCAAATATTTTCATACCCTTATATCAATAGCATCAATCCATTTTTTAGTAATTATCCATTGCAGGGCACACACATTCAGAGATACCAATTACCTGAATGGCATTTCTATTGAGATGTGAACTGTTAGAAAACAGTATGTAGACACACTCTACTAAGTATAAAAAGAAACTAATTACTCCACAGCTTCTTAGGAAGATAAAGTAATTGGAATTTGTAAGTTGCGTTTTTAGTGTTTTGATTAATTGTTCATTTTGACCATGCTTTGACTGCTGCATAACAACATGCTATTTGACATAATGAATTAATCTGTATTTGTGGCAGTTCAAAAGTTTCTTTTGAAGCTCAGGGCGTTCATAAAACACAAGGGCAGATTCATGCTTAAAAACGTGAACTTTCAACTGTACATAATTTTGATGCTTATGACGACAAGCTACAGTACCAAAAATGCAACTCTAGAAAAAAAAAGGATGAAATTCTAGCTGATAAGTTCAGTATTAACAAAAGAAGGCACTCTTAAAAAGCCTCAAAAGCTTTTATAAAATATATTATTAACTAATTGTTTATGTATAATTATAAAAAGAAACTGTACAAACACAGCATTTACATTACAAGTCATTACAATTTCAATATAATTGGGGGTTGGCGCGATGTAGTGGGTAAAGCTTTGGCCTCATAACTGACAGGTCTCTACGTAAGGTAATTTACACTGATTGATCCCATCAGCCCAGCTATATACAATAAGTGAGGACCAGAATTACTGGGGTAATAATTCCTGAGATGGCCCAATATCACATCAAGATGGAAGTCAATTAAGAGACACCATTTAAGATAACCTAGCATAAGTTTGTGCAGTGGTCAGATAATGACACAACACATCCAGTCTCCACACTGAAGGCTCCCCAGCCTGGAATCAAGCACAGGACCTGAGAGCTGTGAAGCAGCAGCACTGTCTGCCATATCACTACATCACCTGCTATGACTATTGATTATATTACACAATGTTTTGGGTGGCACAATGGTGCAGTAGCTTGCATTGGTGGCTTGCAGCTCTGGGGACCTGGGTTCAATTCCTGGGCTGCTAACTCCACACAAATTCTATGTCCTCCCTGTGTTTGCATGAGTTTCCTCCCACAATCCAAAGACATGCCTTGTAGGCTAATTAGCAACAGGGAAAATTGACTTTGGCATGAGTGTGTGTTCATGTCTGTGCAGTGATGGACCAGCGTCCTGTCCAGGATGTATCCTAGCTTGTGCCCAATGCTCTCCCCGATAGGCTCCGGGCCACCATGAACCTGAATTGGATAAGCAGTTATTAAAAGCAATGTGATGATGTAACATGTTTTACTAATTCTTTTTTTTTGTCTTAAGTTCTCACATTTTTCGTTTTAAATTATATAATATCAAACTGAATTGTGCGATCGCTTCATGACATTGTGAAATGGTTTGGAATTTCTCTTTCACTTATGCATCTAAAACAAACAAAACTTCCTATATGTGCATCCCTTTCTTGTTAGACATGGCACATGTAACCATTCTGAAGAACTAAAATATGGCAATATTGACTTTGGCTGTTACTTCAGTTTCCTAAAAATGCTCACTGGTGTTTATAGGAGGTGATGACTCCTCCTAGGACGTTTACCCACAAAATCTACTTGTGATCATTTCCTTCCCATTAATCTGTTACTGTATTTTAACTGTTTGTACAATAAAAATGTGAATATGAGTATGAGAACTACATTATGTGTATGCGTTCATGTTGCAGTACATTTGCACAAAGACAAATGTACTGTTTGTAAAGTAATATTGAGTGTTGACTCCAATACATCCAAAGTTTGCTTTCTTAAACGTGTGGAGTTATATGGAAAATGGACATTTTTCATCTGTATTTCAAATGAGTAAATTAACCTGATCAAAACAAAGAGGAGCCAAAAAACATTTTGGCAAATTGTCAGATGTATGACTTTGTGGACAGCTGCATCTTAAAGTAACATACAGTACCTCCCTTTTAACCCGTGCCCAGCTTCCTGTTAGGAGATGTGGAATTTGCCATATGGAAAAGTGGAATGGTTCTGAAAGATGGGTGTGTCACAGGAACATGCCAACAGTTTGTCTTAATATACTGTATATTGAAAACAGTAAATTTATAAAGTGAGTAATTGTTATTAATATCTACTGTATACTAACAAAAAGAGATTTTAAGAGAGGTTTCCATTTTTGATTTATTGTTATTCTCTATTTATAAAATAAAATTTAATTGGTATTACATCAATTAAAAAATATCAACTAGCAAATGATCAGGTTTGTAATTTGTTATTCTCGGATAAAAGTAATGTACATTTAAACAAGAAATTCACCATCTGATAGAAACATTCATAGGAAATAAGGATCCTCACTTGACTTTGGAGCTTCACTTCTTTGGTACCTTTTAGAGATCATTACTGCTTTTGCACTGATTTCGTCTGCTGGCAAGGGAAGAGTTACCGTGGTAACAAGAAACCTGCTGACCTGCAGGTGTGAAGCATAATATTAGCATTCTCTCAGGAGGTGAAGATTACAGCATTTCTGAATTAAAAAAAAAATAGATATGCAGTAATATGAAACTGAATTAAACTATGTTCAGCAATCTACAGTGCATTTATTCACTTAGCTATACAGAGGTAATCTCGATGGCTCTAAGGCCCCTGTCACGAAATAGTGCTGGACCTCTTAAACGTGCAACTGTTGTAAACACAAAAGAAAAGAAATCTTTTCACTTTTATAGCACTATTCTGGACACTCCACTCAAAGCATTTTACAGGTAATGGGGACTCCCCTCCACCACCACCAATGTGTCGCCTCTGCCTGGATGAGGCGACAACAGCAAAAGTGCATCAGTATGCTCAGTATATCACTGGGGAAGAGAACAGAGTGATGAAGCCAATTCATAGATGGGGATTGTTAAGAGCCCATGATGGATGAAGACCAGGGGGAAATTTGGCCAGGACACCAGTGTTACACCCTTACTTTTTTCAAGAAACACACTGGGATGTTTAATGAGCATGAAGAGTCAGGACCTCAGTTTAACACCACATATAAAGCACTTTTTTTTACAGTATAGCGTCCCTGTGACTAATTCAGGGTGTTAGGACCGCAGGGTGAGCATTCCCTACTCGTCCCACTGACACCTCTTTCAGCAGCAACCTTAGTTTTTCCCAGGAGGTCTCCCATCTAGGTACTGACCAGGCTCACACCCACTTAATTCAGTGAGTTGCCAGTTGTGAGTTGCAGGTGATATAGCACTGTCTTTTCTCTTAAACTTGTATGTGATGATTTACTGACTACAATCTAACAATCTAACATATCAAGATATTATCATAAATCCAAATAAATAAACCAAAAGTTCTGAATCTTGAAAATTACTATCTAGAAATTAGAAATGCACATTCAATGCACAATTCTATTAGAAAAGCCTTGAATACTGCACACATTCATCACAAGATTTTTTCAGCCTTTTGTTCTTTTTTCCCACTTTGAGAAGAACGATCTTACAGGCAGATTGCTGTGGTTAGGAAATGGTCAACATCTACGGCTTGTTCCAGCTCATTCTAGTCACTTGAGAAGTTAAGTTTGAAAGGTTACACTTTGATGTTTCTTCTTGAGGTAATATTACGACACACACTGCTCCTTTTAGAACTCGGAGGGTTTTTCTCAGCATTTTATCTGCTGTTCTTTGACATTCAAATCATATTTCACCACAAATGATCAAGTTCATGTTCGGATTATGTTTGCTTTTCTGCTTTTGCAAGGACACTGCTATATGAGTTTGTTTTCCCTACAGACACAAAACGTAAAACAATATATTATTATTAATAATAATGCTCTTTTTTATTGCTATGTTGCTCATGCACTGTTACACTCTTTATATCATATCTTCAAAAGTAATATTAGGTTAGAAATATAAGGTTGACATCTAAAATTTGTGGTGAGTCATTAGGAGAACTGAGGAGAGCACGCTTAAATGAGCTCAGTGTTAAACTACAGAAAGAGTTCATTAGAGTGGTGTTAGAAAATGTGTGCAGATAAAATGAAACGGATTTTCAAAAGAGCTTCTAGTTTCATGTTAGAAAACTGTTTACAAATAAAACTTTGTATTAGTGAATGAAAACAGAAAACAAGAAAGAGGAAAATAAAGGTTTCAAAATCATGGCAGTGTTGTGGTTTTGTACTCTGTGAATATATTCCCATGAGAAAGAAGGTGATGTTTTTTTCATGATGAGCTTTGAAATATCTGAGGATCTCTGTCACCTGCCAGTTGAATCATTAACTAAAGCCAGGCTATAAAGGTATAGTTTATGGAAAGTTTGATTATGACAGGCTATAAAGATTACATTTTATTGCCCTCTGCCCCTTTGCTTGGTCTTACCTTGACACAATTTGCATGTGATACAGAGTGCTGCTTTGTACCCCTGACCTTTACCTGACTCCAGTTTTCTGCTTAGAGAGCTGACTGAAGGCTGTAAGATCCCTGGCTAGTTAGAAGAAACAGAAATTCAAAGGAACATCACAATGGCAGGTCCAATATTGTCATAACAAGTTTCCCAAATTAAATATATATTTTTTTCAATAATTGCATTTATTTTCATGCCATTTATGTATTCATTCATTAATTGTAACTGTAAAATACTTTATATTTTCTACAGTTTGTATGAAGCTACTGATGCCAATTTGAATCTGATTATGAAATGTGTCATAAAACAAATTGTTCTTGCAGTATGAAACCCTTATTCACAATCAGTCGGCATTGCTGATTGAAGCTTTTATTTTTAGTGTAAGTACAAAAGCATTTCAAATTGTGTTAGAAGTTTCTGTTGACTGCTTGTCTAAACTAAGAATTAAGAAGTACTGGTTTCTATGGCATTTTTGTGATTACTTCTCATCTCAGTAAATCAGAAGGGTCCTCCTATCCATCTTTCAACACACCACAATCATTAAGAACTTGCCCATAAAGATCTGGTATTTGTTTTCAAACCAATTTTAACCCATTTCTAAATTTCCATCTTTACCCATTTATATATAATAACTTTGGCATTTAATTCTCTAAATCAATTGCCACATTGATATAAAATGGTGTTAGCCCTAAAATGTAAAAAATAAACTAAAGAAATTTAAATTCTATTTGCATATCTAACTTTGATTTAATTAGTAGCTATATTTTCTGTTCATCTGAAATGATAGCTGGAGAAAGACCTTCTATATGATATTGTTTGAAAGTTTTAATTAAGTGCTTCATGTAAAATGTTATGTTCCATTGATTTTTATTATGGAGTGCAGTGCTTTTTTATGATTCTATTATATCAGTGTACTAAATATTAATATTTAAAAGTCATTTGTAAAATGTTGACTTAATTCTGGTTGATACCATTACATTATAGATAAATCATTTGTTTAATTATTGGAAAGCTCATAAAGTATTTCAGAGTCATCTTTTTATGATGTTAAAAGTACATTCTATTAATACAGTATAAAGAGTATTGCATTTAATTGTATACAGTGTTCATTACCTGTAGGCCTCAAAAGTGGATTTTGATGCGATTATTCTGACACCTAGTGTCCATTTTGTGATACAATACTGAAAAGATGAAATTGCAAGAGATATGAACAAAAAGTATTGGTGCTAAATTGTTTTTGTCTCCTCTTTCTACTTTATCAGAAACTGTTGATGCTTTCAGGATGAGTATTCAATTCAAAGTCACATTGAATGTGACCCAATCAATAAGTTCCTAAAGACATATTGTTTTAGTTTGAATAAACTGGTATGTTGGACCAGTTTATTCAAGTCTCAATGTAACAAATTACTTTTCTCTGACAGACACTGCCTGGGGAGTCCTGGTTTCAGTAATCTGCTGACACCACTCGTTTGGTGAAAAATCAATCCAAGCATTTCTTTGCATCTGAAAATGTATTCTTAAATTGACGATTTTTCTTTGTTTTTGGATAAACATTCTTAGAAGAAGCAAAACTAAAAATCACTTGGTATGTTGCCATAAATTGGCAACATTTTAGATTATATTTACAGTAAAATGCAAACAGAAGTCTTAAAGAAGAATTCATTGTAAAGTGATTCATTATTATTCACTATTCATTTTTAATTCATTTATTCATTTTCACCCATTTTATACAGTTCATTATAAACTTTCAGCACATTGTAGAATCAAATTCACATTGCCAAATAATTTATCCTATGATCTTATCTCTGATCACACAGTAGTGCATATTTGGTATTTTACAGGAAGACTTCAACTGTATTTGTCTAACCACATTTTCATTTTTATTTTAGAACAGCCTGTTAAACAGAAATCTATTTAAACTCACGCATATTCTGTTTCTGTTAATAAATATGGACCCACAAAGCATACCCTAGCACACCCAGGACTATGAATTCTAAGAGTGGGTGGTCACATTGTTTTCTATTGTGTATCTATTACAATTTGTGGCATATCTGCAAAGAGTAAATGCATTTTTATTCTTCGATATTTTTCTTTTACACAGTAAATGCTACACTCAGTGGCACCTAAATATGAATTTATACCTCTGTGTTTTTGGTGTCTATTGTTGGACTTTTTCCAGATTTTTAACCGGTAAGGTACTGTACTTTCTAATTAAAAACATCTTACAAGTTTAAGTGTAAGAATATGCCTCATGTATAAAGTGCAAGGTTTATCATCTTCTATCACAAATAAAATCAAAAGGTTCAAGTTTGTTTAATTTTTATATTTTATTCAAATTATATGAATTATGAAATTAACAACAATACCATATTCTGAAACATGACCTGCTGAAACTATGAAGATATGTATAATCATGCAATATTGGCAAATCTGTAAATCTAATCAACTATTTTGTCTTCTTTTAAACATAAAATCTCCGCCTTGTTAGGTGTGATAATGTTAATTATTTTAGACAAAATGTAGAAGATACCTTTTGTGTACAAAGAATTAATACACTTTTGGGAATATTTACTGTATTCATATACCATGAAAAAATAATACATTTAATAATATAAAGTACTTTGTGTGACTGAATACATCTAATATTTCAATTATTATTTTAAAAACAGTTACTACTTATTAATTTAAACATTTGACTTTATGTTTTCAAATAATTTTTAAAGTTTGAAAAAGACTTTCAGGTTTAAAATGTATGAAAAATGGAACAGTGCTTTTGTCTTTGCTAAAGAAATAGAATCCTCACTTATATGCTTCTTATAACAGAGGCCAATGAAGAGACACATGTTAAGACTGGCAGCTCAATTTTTCTACATCTAAATAGAAGAGGCAATATGAGCACTGATGACTACACATTGAAGAAAGATGATAAGCTGGTGGTAAAATATAAAAGCTCTCTTCCTCAGTATTACGGGACTTATACACGTAGATCCCAATTCTATCCTAATATGACTCTCAGAATTGATGGAGCAATGGAAAGTGATTCAGGAAATTACTCGTTGGAAATTTATAACAATGGCAAGTTTGTACATAGAGAAACATATTGTATTGTCGTAACTGGTAAGTCACAACGCAGGATTTTTTTCCCCCTTTTTCATGTAGATGAGTAATACTGTATATCATTTTATTTTCATAATTTGAGTGTACTGTAAGGATTACAGAGAGTTGTCTCTCTTGCCACTTCACAAACTTGTTACAAACTCAAACTTTGTCTTTTACTGGCACATTGTGCGATACACAACCCAAGCATAAGTCCAACCTCTGATCATTTTCTCTCAGTAACCTTAACTAGTGCAGAAATTTCAGATTACAAAGTATAGAATCCTCTTGAGTTTCACTGTTTTGGCACGCTGCAGATGAGGTGAGTGAGGGGTATTTCATCGTTTGTGTTATCAATTTGATTTGTAAACGTGATCATGATGAAACAAAGATTTTTGAAACATTACTTTATATAATACAATGTATCTTCTAATCATAGTGCATTTTGTGGCACACTATCTTATGGTGATGTATAATAAAACAATTGTCAGAAAAAGACAAAAATTAAACAGAAATTAAATTGATCAGAATTCAAAGCTCGAGCATAAAAACTATTTTAAAGAAAGAAAACATGTGGAAGTGCTTATCGACTTAAAAAACTAAGGACAAGAATATCAATTCACTGTCTTGTTTTTTTGACTGTCTTAATACATTTGAGGATGTAAATATATTCATAACAACTACTGTATGTGATAGCACTTGTTCTGGATAAAAAATTACATAACTGATCAGGAGGTTGAAGCAGAACTAAGAATAATTTGCCATTTTCTACCCTTTAACTAAGTATAAGTTCATATTAATATCAAAATACAGTATGTGTATACAAATCTAAAAGTGGAATTTATAATACTTTATATTACTGTAGTATGTTTCATTGCTTTTGTGGTGCCTGAAGTATCTAAACAATATTTACATGTGAATCACTTCACAGCCCTTAGAAGAAAGAAAATGTTATTCCCACTGTAGTGCTGTTTGTGCACTGTAATTCAGAAATGACACATAAAATTATAAAAAATTTTTTAAAATCAAGGTGTTATTTATTCTATTTCAGTTCCACCAGTTTATGGCATCCTATATGGCTCTGTGTTCCTGTATCTAAGAAAGGGGAACCACTTGCGGAGTTCCGGCATTGTGTGGAAGAAGAATGGCTTGGAGGTGGCTAGTCTCAAAAACTCGGAGGTCCGGCTTCATGAAGCTTACAATGGCAGAGCAGAACTCTTTCCAGATGGAACTCTCAGGCTCGACAGAACAGAAGCAATGGATGAGGGAACATATACTTTGGAGCAGACAGACGGAATGGGCCATAGGGAAAGCTATCGTTTATTCCTGCTTGGTGAGTTTTTAAGTCTTTCATAGACAAAAGTAGCGCCTGAAGCTCATTGTCTTCATTTATAGGAGAGGCATATAAGCAAGTGTATGATTGTATATCTTATTCTCGTCAAACAAGAAGGTTTAAGATCAACCCTGATGTCTACCATTTTTTTTGCTCTGCACAAAATATATAAGAATATTATATTCAATGTTATTACAGTCTCCTGTCAGTATTGATCCTTTTTTTTAACAGTGGTGATCCTATGCTTTCCCCTCAGAGAACAGCAAGTTTGACAGTGTGGATGGAGAAGAGGGGAGTTCAGTATTTCTCCACGTGCAGCAAGTCAGACTGCCCTCCAATATTCACATTACTTGGAAAAGGGAGGACAATCTGCTGGCCACCCTTAAAGATCATGACTATTACACTTTTAACAGAACTGGAATTGTGCTTTTCCCAAATGGGACACTAAGACTGGATAATGCCCAAGAGCCAGACACAGGACCATATTCCTGGGATATATTAGATGTGGAAAAAAAACATACACACCATGGAGTTGTACAATTGTTTGTTATCTGTAAGTTATCTTACCCGAATGCAAATGTACATTGTTAAACTTTGGTTGACGTTTAATGGCTCTCAGTATTTAAAGGTATTTGCATAGGTCATACAAATTAGTTTGGGATTTCTAGATAGTGAATTTTAAATCCAGAACTGTAATACATTTGGGCTATGAAAGCTGATTATAACTTTCAATATGTTGTGCTGCAGATAATGAACAGCGTCCACCAGTTTATGGATCCCTTGGCAGATCAGTTTCTCTGTCTTTGGTCAACGGCCGGGGTGAAAATGTCTATGATGTAAAATGGATGAAAGGAGACATCTCTGTGGCACAGTTCAAGACAGCCTTCCCTTCTTACAATGGAAACTATAAAAATCGGTTGAAGATCTTCAGTAATGGGACAATGATTATGGACAGAATACAGGAAAATGATTCAGGAGTTTACAGTGTAGACTTTTTCTATAAAAATGGTACAAAACACAAAATTGTGTTTAAACTGTATATAAATGGTAAGCATTTATTATTACTTGTGTGGACAATATTGCTAAAAGGAATGTTGTAATGACATTTGATAATTACACTTACTATTATCAGTGTACTGATAATACTACTATATTATTATATAGTACTACTTCTCTAGAAAAACCCCTGCATATGGAGGTTTGGAAAGCTAAGTTCACATTTTCACAGATAACCACTGAACTAAGTGACAAATAAACGAAAGACCCAAATTCCAGAGCCACAGAAAGTGTTAAATTGGTTTCAGTGCTTTAGGAAGATTAAGACGTTTTAGGAATCATAAAAGAGAAATTTTCAAAACAACTTTATATTGCAGACAACAACCACTAATGGAAAGTTGTCTGTTGCCTGTACAATAACATCACAGTTCTTAGAGATAAAAATATCAATGGTTAGAAGCACAACAAGAAAAATCGATCACTGTTGGACCCAAAATATAATGATATACTGTATACGGTATTGCAAGAAAAGAAAGAAAAGAAGAAAAAGTCAGGTACATCACCCCAAAGATGACAAACTAAAATCAGTAAATCTGCAGGTACCAGTTGGAAAAAAACAGTCAAGGAATTATTTTGGGGGAGGTCTTCAATATCATAGTGATTTTCAGAAAGTCTGTGGTATGTGCTTCAGAAATAGGATGCAGATTCACTGATTTTCTTTTGCTTTTTCAGACTCCACGCCTCTAGACAAAAATATTCATACAGTCTGCAACCCTGATGGGAAAATTGATTATTTCTGTTTGGTACAAGAAGGTACAGTATAATGAATTGTACTCATCTCAATATATTTGAAAAATAGAAGAAAATATTAAATATATCTTGATGTAATTCAATTATTTAATATTGTTGTATTAATATTTGGACTACATCTCTAAGCTTAATGAGAGGTGTAAGCTTACAATAAAATATTTTGCTTATTATACACCATGTCAGGATATCCTGTTGCATTAAGTAGTTAATCAGGTATCCCATTATTTTTTCTGTTTTTAGCAATTCATGTTGCTCTTGATGCTCTTCATAAATGTACGTTTGACAAAGGTCAATGTCACATGGTTATACCGTGAACTGTAGCTTAGCTTTAGTTCAGATCAGGACATGTCATTGTTGTATACAGTTGTGTACAGTATATCATTGCATCTACAGTATATGAGAAAGAAAATAACATAGCTGTTCTAATTAGGGCATTTGGATTGATTTTGTCTTTCTTCTCAGGTCTGATTAGTGAAATGGCAGTTTATCTGATGTGTCACTTGTGTATGGTTTTGGTCTTCCTCACAATCTCTGTTTTTGTGCTGGTTTGTCTAAAAAATAGGAAAACAAAGTAAGTACTGTACACCTCCTGTCTAAATAAAGACATTTTCTGGACAACTACAGTGGTAAACAAGTTTGATGTATGCATCTCTTTCCTAAAGAAGAAAACACTATAATAGTACTTACGTGTAATATATTGGTAAACAAATATAAATTCAAAACCAATTATAAAGTCTCTTGTAATAGAAATCTAGTTTTCTGAAGTCAATTGGATAAGTAATAAATACAAAACACAGGGACATGGAATAATTTAACCTAAAGCTCCTGGTCAGTGGCATTCCCTCTTATTTGATTAGCTGCTCAAGTTTAAAGAGCACAGTATGTAGTAAACAGTACTGTATATACTGAAATGTAGCTTTGAATTCTGAAACTGTCTCTTTTTCTTTATAGGAGAATGCAGAGGAGACCAATGTAAACTTGTAAAATAAAATGTACCAGCTAATTTCAGGTTATGTGGAATTAAAACCTTTGATCCAAATGCCAGCAATGATGAACTAGGATAAAAAATCATCCCTTGCATTTGAAGCAAGCACGCCAAACATTTAAAGCATGCATTTAAAGCATGCACGCCAACATTTGGGCTATGTAGCAGTTTCATAGGCTATTTCGTTATTATTTTCAAGCTTCATTTCACTGTGTCTCATCAAAAATACACATATGTTTTTGGTAACGCTCTATGTGATACAGAAATATAAATACTGGTTTGAAAGGGATTGATCTTGAGATTTAATCATACAAAGCAGTTTTGGATTATGGAATCCATTTTGTAATCAGGGATATGACACTTACTCTCTCTCTCATTTCTGTGCTACACAGTCAGTTTTATGTGTATTTGTGTCCATGTTCTAAGATGGCAGAAACAATTATTGGGAAACAGCAGCCCCAGCTCAACAATTTACTGTATATCATAATACAGTCCTCAGAATGGCAAAGAGCATCACAGATGATTCTACACACCCGCTCCATTCTCAATTCATAGTGATCCCATCAGGTAGACTGTACAGGGTACCAAATTCAAATAAAGATATTTATAGTTATATTATCTTTTGTCCCTGCTCAATGAATGTATGTTAATGTAGTCTATTAATGTATCACAAACTTTTGTGATGTAATGTACTGTACTTCATGTGATTTTACTGTTTTGTTTTTGTATTTTGTACTTTTATGGGAGAAGCCAAAGACACATTTCAACAGTAGTGGACAATAAAATATCTATCAAGTATTTATCTATTGTCTTTTCTGCTCAAGACAGAAAAGGTTCAGTTATTGCAGCCTGAGAATTAAAATTTATTTTAGTATGACAATAAGATCATGTATTGTAATTATAATAATATTATAATGTTCATTTATTTGCTTTACAATGTTGCAACTCGTTGGTTATGTTACCAATACATACAGTATCATCAGTAAGACTAAAGTCTGTCTTTCTTTCACAGCTTACATTGTTTCTATTCAATACATTTCCATAGACAGTCCAAATATATCTGACTGAATTAAGCAAACTGTCAGGGAAAATGACATCTGCCTGGCTCCTGTCTGTCAAGTTGAATTTTTCCAGGGACTTTATTTAAAAACTGTTATGACAATAGCATGTGATAGTATAACTTTCTATTGACACGTTTTGTATTATACAGTATAACAATTGTAATCTATTACAACACAAGTGGGAACATTTTTCCCTACTTCAGGATCTCTGAATTTCAATATATCCTGCTAAACAATTGTTATACACTATGGTGGTGAATGAAGAAAAGTATTATTTATTGATCATTTAGTACTGTACAATATTCTGGTAATGTAACGTTTATTTACAGTTACGTCGAATGTACTCACCAGGCTAGGCTATTGCATCATTCCCCTGCATGTCCTGTAGATTTGACTCCTGACTATTTCAATACGAAGAAGAGCTGGTGGAGCTGCTCCTCACTATTGGCTCCCTGGCATTAAGGTTGGCACCGCTGCCTTTCAGCTAATGTGGTACGAGTTCAGTTCTGGGTCTGATTCAGTGTTGGACTTGAATTTTCTGCTGGAGCTGCTGTTTCCTCACATTACCCTAAGATATCCAGGTGGAGGGCAGTTCTGCCTTGTGCCCTATTCTTCCAGAATAGACTCACTAGGATTTGCAGCTTCTGGATAATGGTTGCGTATTCTGTAGGATTCTGGAATGATGTTTCTGAGGTTCCATGTTTTTCTGAAGCTGGTGTTCAATAGCCTTTTGAAAAGTAGCTGCACAAAATCACTTTGGGTGATTGGGTCACTTAGATGCTACAGTAGCAACCAAATAAGCCACATGCCCCAAATGGCCTTCACTTGTTTTTGTAACATGCTTAAATTGTTTTTGCTGTTTTTCTACTTTTAGAGTAAATTTGCTCTCTTCTGTTCATCAAAATAAATTTGCAAAGGTCATTTTAAAAATGAAGATGAGCGCATGTTGAAAAAGAATGAGTTTTACTTTCCTCTTTTTAGTCAAAGTGCAATAAAAAAAAGAGATTTCTCAGAACAATATCACATGCAGAACATATGACTTGGTAGATGAGATATGTAATTAAAGGCTCATGAATAATACAGTTAGCACCCATTCTAAGACATGCAAAGAGAGTGACACAGCTCAAGGGAGGCTAAGATTCCTTTAAGAAGGGAAGATGTCATTAATAGAATGCGTAGATTCAAGCTTCGAGTTTTTCTAAGATAAAAATACACAAAAGCTACTGCTCTTTCTAATTTGGTCACCATGTGCAACAAATTTCTCAACTTTTTGGAGAAAAAAAGCACATGAACAATATGCCTGATATGTAAGCTACTGTCTCCCCCTCATTTGCATGATGTCAATTGAACAGAATTGAGTAAAATAAGCAGAGCCTGAGTAAAAGTGGCTGATTTTATATAGAAACCTAAACAGGTACTGAGACGAGCCTCATAAAATTAGAACACATTCGGAAACTTCCATGTTGAAATTCTCAGCACACTGAATTCTATATTCATTCCCTCATTTTGGCATTGACAGACTGTAAATGAGAACATGACTTTCCACTGCAGTCTTCTGGTCATGCTTTTTTGCTTCAGCTTTTTGTCTGGTGAGTTCTTTTCATAAATGGTACATTTGTATTTGTGCTTTAATTAAAATTTGTTAGCATGACATTTTATCTTTATTAATTCATTATCAGGTGAATTATTCCCGATTCCCTATAGAGAAGTGAAGTATTTTATTATCTTGAACAGCTACAGTGGTAGAAATCTAAATGGGTTTTCAAAGGGCTTACACCTACAGTGCTGGAATCCCACATTAATTTTACTTTAGTCATTGCTTTTTATATTTTAAAAAGTCAGCAGCCATATTGTGCTTTGGCAAAGAGGTGATTTTACACTCATGACCCAATGCCAAATTAAACTGGTAAAAAGATGATTTTTGATACAGTTAGTAAGTGGCAAAATGTATAAATTTGCAAAAATATTTAAGAAGAAACTAGTTTTTCTTTCTTGTCTCATGTCTCCATGTAGTCTTAGGAAGCCCAGGATTTCCTCATGTCCGACTCAATGTGTCAGAGTTTTCCTGCATTTTCCGGAAAAACGGAAACAATTCTGTGGCTATGCTTGATGATAATACTACGGCACAATCCTATGGCGATTATGAAAACAAAACAAACCTTTTTCCAAATGAGACACTTATGTTGCATTTGTGCTTGAAGAGTGATGTTGGACACTGTAGTGTGGATGTTCTCAAAAATGGAACACGATTAGAATGTGAGCAATCTAGTATGGATGTCATTCTCAAAAATGGAACACACTCGGAATGTAGACCTGTCTATGAACTACCACAAGGTGAGATGTGATTTTTAGAGTACAACATGGTTATGAATGAGAGATCTTAAATTTGGAAAACTATAGAACACAGATGCACTGTCTAATGCAAATGTCCAAAGCATTTTCAGCAAAATGTTTCATTGCTTTTCTAGTTCAGTGATCAGGAATGAGTTTAAATGAGTAAGAACAATGTTCTGCATTGTTGCAATTTTCACATACTCCTTGAGCAATATAAGGACCCTTGGAAAGTCCAAAGAAAGTATTTAGAAAATAAATACTGTAAAGACAGCATAGACGTCTTACTTTGACATTACCAGTAATATACAGTATAGAGTAATACATCTTTAGAGGGTAGCTCCAATAACAAATAAACAACAATACAATCACAGTAATATTTAATATTTATCTATCTTCCCAATTATAAACTACATTTTCTAGGCATTTTCTAGTTTACAGTGAATGTAAATTGTAAATTTATAGTTACAAATCACTTGTTCTCATCATTACAAATAAAACATACAACAGAAGTCTGGAGTTGGAGTAATCTTGAGTTGGATTTTTTTTTTGTTTTTAGACCTAGCATTGCCTAAGTCTGTGGTGATTTACAATTTTCTGAAAAGCAAGACAGTGTTCTTTAAGTGCTCAGTGAAGACTGAAGTGGATTTAATATTTGAGTGTAGGCTCAATGGAACACTTCTAGAGGATGAAAATGTTTCTCTGTCCTGTGAGGTGAAAAACAATGCTGAAAACCAAGAGCATGCCCATGTCTGCTTCGACTGTGGAACTCAAAGTAAGTAGAGTAATATAAAAAGCTGATAATTTACAGGCCCTAGAAAGTGTATATCTCAGTTTTTAAGGTGAAGGGTTTGTCAATATGACAAAAAATACCACCCTTAAGTAAAGTATGAATTACTTAGAATTAAAATTTTATGTATTTATGTTTGTAGTATGGCTGAATAAATTAATGGTTCAATTGAAGACACATTAATTAGTACAACTGAGGTATCCCTTGTATATATTATATTTTATTTAGAATAATCAGTGATGCTTTTCTAAAGCGAGAATATTATGAATAGGGAGAAATAATACAGCATAAGGCAACGTCCTAAAATCTTTATGGCAATGGGGGATACATGGATCAAACACCTAATTTCATTTAACTGTGGAGTAAATTGCTAATATTTGTGTGAAAGCCATGATGGAATGGAGAATTAAAATACTATCCTATGATTTTCCAGACAGAATGAGAGGATTTATTTTGTACATGGTGATAACCGTTGCAGCTGCTGGGACAGTGGTCACCATTGCTCTTGCTGTTATTTTCTTTTGTGTGAAGAAACATGGACACAAGCAATCAGGTAGGTATCGTTGTTTTTGACCTTATCTTTTCAACCTACTTTAGTACCACACAGAGATTGAGGTCCTAGAAAACAAGTGTAGCTCTGAGTATAATTTGCAGGTTTTGATATGCAGTACTTTGGAACAGTCATTGATATACTGATTTCAGGTAGTTATCACTGAATCACAAACACTGTTTCATGCTTTGTGCATCAACCATGTTCTAGAAAATACCAGTATAGAAGTTTCACTTTAAAAATGGTTTCCTGAGTTTTTTTTTTGTACAGAAAACCTTTGTGACAAAATAGCTGGTTGTCTTTAAATAGGTTTATTGATCTTGTCGAATTCTTGATATCAGGTTTTTATTTGTTTTGTAGACGAGGGGGACCCATGCACGAGACCATTCAAGCTGGAACAAAGCAGGACGGATACAGTAGTCTATGCTACAATACGGATCGCTAAGGCAACAAAGTGACAGGACAGTCAACAACATTTTTTTTATTTCTAGGGCAATAGCTGATTGCCCACACCTGTCCTCATGTGTCACATTGCTATTTTCAGAAACACAAAAGCATTTCTTCTCTAGAACTAAGTTAGCTGACTAAACTGACCTAAGACCTAATGTATGTAAAGATTCCACAGTGCAATGGCACGCATCACAATCAGTAAAGAAACATGTTTTTTATTTATTTTTTTGTTTCCAGTTATTTTTAACCCACTCAGTTTGGAATCTTCAGTCATTTTTAGTTTGCAACTCAGCAACAGCAACAACCCCGGTATTTCAAAATGAGAATGAGGATGGGCAGATACTGCACCCCCTCCACTCCAGCAGAGCGGTTCATTTATTAACACAGTTACTCTGAGTTGGGTTAGCACCTAGAGGAGGAGTGGATCACAAAAAGTTGCCTTAATTCCCTAGCTTTATCAAACTGTTTGTGAATTTAAAAATGCTTTAAATGTTAAAGCCTGATTACTGATATTAGCTGTGCAAAATATTCAATTTGATGTTTTTTAAATATTGCTATATTTCTAAGCTCTTTAAAACAATATCATATTATGCACATTCTTTCAAAGCACATTTACTATACGTCTACTCTAAAGTTTTAGAATGGGGAGCAGAGGGGGGGTCTGCTTGCATTTTCAATTTAACTTTTGCAAACCTAATGGCACAGCAGTATGTTTAACTGATCACAACTAAAGATCTTCTTATTAATGAAATGTCTTATATCAGTTGTGACCTAGCTTCTTCCAAAAAGCTGTACTCCAGATTTGTAGTATTTTAACTAAACTAAAGATTTTTCTTTTCAAAGTCTCTTTTAGAATCTGTTTTAAAGAATGTTTTAGCAGCTGACCTCTTACTATAGCTCATCCTTTTCTGAACAGTTCCTCCTTCTTACTGTATATACTGAAACCATATCCCATTAGGCCATTCTCACTTAAAGGTACATCTGTCATGTTTTAGAAAAAAAAAAACATTGCTGTAACATATTAATAAAATTAATAATCATGGTTTATCAACTCTCATACCAATTTTCAAGGGCACAAATAAAGTGTATTATAATTTGGAAGACTTTAAGTAAAGTAATGATTTCTGTATCTTTTAATTATTACCTCTCAATTAGTCCTTACCATTAGATTCAGCTGCTACCTTAAAACTCTGTTATCTTGCTTGTGGAAATCTTTGAAGTACCTCTGTCCCTCAGATTTATGACATTAACCTGGAAAATGAAACAGCCCTCAAAATAAAACAGAACCCTGAAGATAGGGGTACAGCAGAGTGATTTTAGGAAATTAGAAGTTTTTTTAGAGTGATAAAAAAGAAAGCTGCAAGAGAAAGATTCTTGTAGTAAAACAAAAAGAATGCCACACAGTAAAAACATATTGTTATAATATGTGGTGTAATTTATCATAATTCATCAATTTAATATGCATTTTGAGTATTAAGTGTTAAAGCAACCCCTATAAAATGTAGAAGTTTTTCATAAATGGCAAAAATATGTTGAAATCTGGGATTCAGAAGGAATGTATCTAAAGTATTTGGTGTTGCATACATGGTTTAAAATATCTATAGTAATATATAGCAAAACTGATTTACTGATGATCTTCCGATCAATAACAAACATTAAAAACCAGGTTGGTAAATTAATATAACTTCAAAAAGGAATAAATTATATTTTGATAAGCATCAATGCCTTGTGTGCTTTCTACCTGCCCTTTTTAAAGATTTGCAATAGTTTTTAAATACTTCTAACTACTTATTGAGTAACAGGTAAGGGAAGTTAAGTGTTTTTGATGTTTTGCTTTATATTTGGTCAGTCTAAGAAGATAATTAACTACGTGAGAAGAAGCCTTGTTTCTTGTCAGATTAAAAATAAAAACAGGATGTGAGTTTCCTGTCCACAATTATGTGACTATGGGGGTGTTTTTGCAACCGTTGACATGGCCTGACTTTCAAATGTTCAAGCTACTGACTCATGAAGCCATAGTCCTTATATAAAAGTGCTGCTTCCTTTGTGCTAACTGTATGTATTTCACAAAAGCTTTGGGGTTCTGAAAGCATTTCAGGTCTTTTCGGCAAAATATGAGTTGTGAAGTTATGGATGTTTGTGTTTTTCAGAGGATGTTGAATCTGTCTAGTTGTCTTCAAAACATATACAGTAGTCATATCTACATAAACATACTGCAGCTACAATAGAAATAGCTGTACATGTGTAAAGTAAGGTGCAACCCTAGTCTCTTTAGTGAGGATAAAACAAAGAAGTATCAGTTAAGAGCAACACTGATGCACAATAATAGCTTTTCTGATGCTGTTCAAAAAATATCTTCCTGCTCTCAAAGCTGTGGAGTAGAGTTATTTTCCTACAGTACATGCACTTTTGCAATAATGCTAGATTCTTCTGTTGGTTGTGTTTACATCTTTAAAGTGTCATATATTTTAGAACTGAGAAAAATCCCAGCACATTCTCAACATTTTCTTTTTTCTTACACAATTATGATAAACAGTAAAGGGGAGTGACATCAGACTCAGCTTACAAAAATATACAACTCAGTTGATAAAATTATGATATACTACACAAAATACCCAAATATGTTTTATTAATGTGATATACCTAGAATGGTAGAATGGTACCTACAATTTTGTTTGGACTCTGGCATTCTTTCATTTGCAAGTAACAGATAAAATATTTGAAGTTGATTTTGATACAATGGAATCTCTAAACTTTATTCATTCAGTAAATGCAAAGGTAATTGCTTAAAAAACAGATTTTCACATTAAATACAAATTTGAATTAAAGCCATACAGTATGTGGTGATTGAAAAGGAAGGTGAAGGTAATGATACTCTTCCTGTATACCATTTTAGTGCAGAGAATGGAAAAAAGCAACACATCACAAACTTTTGAAATCACAAAGCCCCTGCCCTCTTTCTGCGGCTTTGCATTAGACATGTAAGAAAATGTCAGTAAAAATTAGTCTGCATAAAGTATAATTTTAAGTATATAAATTGTAGAATGAATATATCAATCATCAATCCATCCCTTCATTCTCAATAATCTCTCTAGCCTTAGAGGGCTGCAGTAAACGGTGGTGTAACCTGAAGGCACAGGGCACAAGGCTAGACTACACCCTGAGTGGGATGTTAGTCCATCACACTTCAAGGCATTATCTTGGACTCCATTTGTCTTAGAGATATGTCGTTGAACTGTAGGAGTAAACTGTAGGAGGAAACCAGTCCACCCATAGGAAACTCATGCTCTATATAATTTATTTTCCAGAGAGCTACAGTATGAGGCAGCAGTATTAACTGCTATTAACAGTATTAATTTACATTCCTATAATACAATTAAATTGTCTTAATTCTAAAGAAGTATGCAGATTAATATGTCTTATCAGAAGGGGGTTTACAGTGAGTTACAGAGTAGTAGCATGTGTGGCCAGTATTGGAAGCAATACAAGCTGTGCCATGGTTTGTATTTTTTTTTTTTGCCATGATATGCATAAATGACACTGTATCAGATTCATCTGAATTTATCTTGTCCAAGGGCTTGATCAATGAGGCATCATTCATTCAGGCTGCCATCAATACAACAGGCCAGTTCATTTAATATACAAAACAGCAACATGTTAAAGCAATACAATCAAGATGCGGCCACACTTAAGGGTCAGGGTGTTAAAGGTAGTTAATGCTTGTTTACATATGAGACTACTGAAAATGATAATATTATCCCCTTTTGTAACTTATTTTTTATTTTTATTAACATTGTACCTTGTAATTTAGTCTGTCAGATATGCATGGCTTGTCTGTAATACTTCTATGACTATACATTACCTTATATTATTAAGATGTAATTCATGCTGAAGCCTGTGGAATATGATACAAATACCTCATCAAATTCTCTGAGGTATATTCATACCTCACCAATTATAATTCAATGTACTTCCAATATAAAATTATGGTATATATGTTGGTATATATAATGGTTAGCAATGGCAATGGTTAGATATAGAGTCATTCAGCACAGCACTGAATTACACATTGAGAATGTGCAGGCCAGCTGTGGCAGCACCCGCAGTAATGATTCCACCTTTGAGACTGTGGTTTTGAAATTTCCACTCATCATAAATTCTTGCATATGAGAATTTGTTTAATATCCCCTCTAACCCTTCTAACAATGGACAGAGCATGGCCTCTTCTCGCCTTCTCCTTTCTCTTTTTACCAGGTACACAGATCACTTCATTTTCTTCACTATGAACGAATATTTGCTGAGTTAATTTTAATTTTGGAAGTGGCATAGGCAATACATAAAATAATTTCACTGGCATTCTCTTTGCTTCAGTTGATGGTTAAATTCAAATATTTATAATAGTAATATTTCAATGTAGCGAGGATCTTTGAATTATATTATACACATTTAAATTCAAAATATAACCTAAGATATACAGTACAGTATATTGTGTATATATACTGTATATATATTACTTCATAAATGTATATGACTGAAGTTATTTTTGCAGTTACAAATTCACTTCAAAATGAACAATGTAATTTTAAATTACAGATTGATAGTGTTTAGCGTAGACATACTGTACGGTATAATCCGTATTTATAATACTATTTTGTTTTAGCCAGATAACTTGAAATTAGCCTATATCACATCACTGGCATACTAGAAGTGGTTGTATAAAGCATATATGACATAGCTACAACCTGTACAACATTTGCACAGATTAAATTAATTTTTGTTAATCCCAAATCCTGTGCTTTATGGCAGGTTTTTGTTGTTCAGAGGCAGTTTTCTTCCATTTAATAATAACCTCTCATCAAGCATTGGGTATTTATTTTGAATTTGTATTTAAGTTACTGTTTAATTTATGCCTGAATTATTATTATTAAAAGGGTTCTCTATAATGTTATATATTGAAGAAATCAATTAACTATTGCTTCTTTTTTCTGTGCTGCAGGCAGCAGAGCCTCCCCAAATCTGTATGTGGCGACAGGCAGTACAGTCTACCTGACTGCGGACAATGGAACCCAATTAAACTTCCATGAACTTGAATGGTCCATGAAAACTTTCAGAATGGCCAAGTTGAGAAATTCTACTCAACTTCACTATTATGGGAGGCAAGTTGAAATCTTTTTGAATGGGACTCTCAGACTGGACAATGTCAGCAAAAATGATACTGGAGAGATTACAGCTAAATTGTTTGACACAAATGGAAAAAATATCCTCCAAATTACATATAATCTGAATGTTCTGGGTAAGATATTGTTACATATTTTTAAGAAGACTGGTTTTACTAATTTATAATCAATTCTTTGTGTGAAAAAAAAACACATCCAGCATCATACTGACCAACTTTAGCAAGGCATAGTTTGTTACAGTCTAAATAAAATGGTATAACCATGTGAACAGCACAATATAGTGTCTTAATAATATTAATTGACATTTAATTATTAATAAGCACATAGTAGGACTAGTAGGTCTAGGTTTCAAACAAAATGCCTTTTAATTTCCCTTTTGTTTTTCATGAAAGATCCAGTGTCCCAGCCTGTAGTAGAATACATGAAGGCTTCTAATGGACAATCAGAGTTTCACTGCTTGGTTAAGAGTGGAGATGACCCCTTGTACTCCTGGAGTTTCGATGTTAAACCTCTGGATAGTACAGTTTTTTTTCACATTATTGAAAACCACAAACTTCGTTTAAGTTGCTATTCTGGAAGAGTAACCTGCACCGTTTCAAATTATGTCAGCCGACGTTACAGTGAACCTCTTCCATTTACCTGTGCAGGTAAGATAATTCCAATTTGCACCTGATAGATAATTACTACTAATGTAGTAGTAACCTATGTTGTGATATCATAAAAACAAAA